AGTCTCCCCTGCACCCTATACCTGCCTCGCCCACCAGTCCTCAGTCCGTCCTGGATGGCAGTAACTCCACGCTGTCCGGCAGCGCCAGCTCTGGGGTCTCCTCCCTCAGCGAGAGTAACTTCGGCTGCCCCACCTCCTCCTCGGACCCCCCAGCCAGCCGGACCGACACTCTGGAGTCCGTCCCCAGCAGCCAGGCCTGGACCACCGACCAGGAGGACCTGGACTCTCCGTACCAGCCCGTCAGGTACAGCATGTCCGAGCCAGATGTCTTGGAGGGAGTCAAACCCCCGCCCTGCCGCAGCCACTCCGCCCCCGGAGGGGTCAACCCAGCGCAGGTGGGCTGTCAGGTCCAGGCTCCGGTTCTGAGCAGTGCTGGAGGCCCACAGCCCCAGCTGGAGGGTCTGCAGCAGCAGCAGCATCTCTTCTACCACCACCACTTCCACCCGCACTACATCCCCCACAATCCCCCTCTCTACCACCTCCACGAGCCCCCTCCAGTCCTGCCCCCCAAACCCTACCTCAGAGAGGGCTGTATCCCTGAGGAGGATCCCCTGGTCACCCAGTCCGGACCTCCGGCCCCTCCTGCTCCTCGACCCATGCCGAGGAAGATCTCCCAGCCCATAATCGCTGCGACCAAGGAGGAGCAGGCCAAGGTGGCGTGGGAGCACGGCATCAGTGAGGAGTGAGATGTTAAAGATAAAATAAACTTTCTGAGGAGAAACTGAGAAAGAAAGAGAAACTAAATCATGAAAAACCTTCAGATTCTGTCCTGCAGGAACCAACAGAGACATTAAAGCTCCATTTTTCTCTCCTCACATCCTTCAGCAGGACAGCTGACGTCACTKCTTCTGTTCGAACTTCAACTTTTTATTTCTCGAGTTAAACTCAGAATCTTGTTTCTATCTTCATTAATACATTTATGAACTCTGACACCTCATAAAACTTTTTTTTATTTTTCTTCTTACGTAACATCATAAACCTACTGAGGGAGGGGTTCTTATAGTACAAATAAATTGCACAATACATTTTTGTTGTTACCTCGCTCTGAACATTTAAAAAAAACGGCACTTTAGTAAAGCAACAGAGCACCAAAACATTTACTCCTCCCATATTTATATGAATATTATAAAAATAAATAAGAAAACTTAATGCAGATCAACTGATCAGGATGTAAAGTGGTTTAATTTAACTGAACCAAACAAAGACGATTATTCCCACCACAAATATCTCTGAATGATGGATCCACCTGAAACAACAGCCTTGATGGAACTGAAGTATTTTTCATTGATCAGATAGTTTATCATTTTTATTTAATGACTGCAGCTGTGTAGAAATATGCAAGATAAACGGTGTTCTGAGCTGATTTGCTGCTTGAAGATGTGCACTCACACTCACACACTGGAGGGTTTTATGCTGTACATGTTGAGATAATTACACTGAGTTGTAACGATGCACAGATGTTTTTTAAGGGTTAAACTTGTCCACATATTATGATGTGCAGGGATGATGTTTATAGAGAATAACAATAGAAAAACATTTAGCCATTTTTTAAAAAGAAAGTAATAAAGTGTAACAAGTGAACATTTTTAACCAGGGTAAGGTTTTGTATGCATGTTTGTTTAAAAGTTGAAATAGAGACTGTGAAAAACAGGAAGCACTGAAGAAACAAAGTGAACTGTGCACTGATGTCCTCGTAGTTTAGGAAAAACATTTGAACTCAACAAGGATGTTCTTTCTGCAAGATTTGTGATAAATGTGATGTGAAGGATACTCTTTTTATTTTATTTTGTCTGTTTGTTTTTCTTTTTTTAAGTTAAAAAAGTTTTAACCACCAGCTCAGATTGTGCTCGCTGTCATCCTGTAAAACCTTATTTCACTGGTTTAAATAAACAGATGTGAACTGTGAACAGCTGCCAACTCACCTGGTTTTCAGTTGTCAAATAGTACTCTTTGTTTCACTATCGCTATGAAAACTAAAAGGTCTGACTCAGAATAAAAATCAGAAGTTCTTAATGTTTCTCCAAAAACTGCAACAAGATAGTTAGCACAAAAATAAAATCTTTGGGCAACAGTTTCGCAACACCTGGGGTACCAGAAGATTTGGCAAATTCTTCCTGTGCACAAGCCACATACTGAGCTCTGCTCATTCCACAAATGCATGTTCCTTACAAATGTGGCACCATTTAAAATAAAATTACCAGGCTTTCAAACGATATGAGATTCTTTCTCATGAAGCATTTTTACAACAAAAAAATAACCTATAACACATACTGTATTTACTTACTTTTTGTTTCAAGTTAATTTTAAACGACTGAGCAAGATAAACACAGTTACATAAAACACACTGATTTATAAGCAATAATAATAATAAACATACAGTGATACTGCAATGAAGTATTAAAAAACACTTAGACACAGGTAAATAAACTCAAGGTAATATTCAAATATGAGCAGCCAGGACATATACCATCGGTATGTGTTGCTCCGGCGAGAACCAGATCTTCAGTGCCGTCTAATAAAGCCCAGGAGCTCATCAAGGAAACCTGCTGCAGGTGAACTCCACCAGCCAATCAGGAAGGTGCAGGTGAAGAACACTAATTGCCACAATAATGAAGCAAAGAAATCACAACAAATGCCTTATTTTCAAATTTGCATAGCCTACCTACATGTCAAGTTGTACAGATTGTCCATAATTTCCACAGATTTTCCCTTATTTTGAAGGTATACAGCAATCCCATGGATTGTTTTCAAGTTTTATAGATTTTTCAAAAACTCAATTTCATATTTATTTTACATCCCAGAGCCTGGGACGTGGTCACGTGACCTCTTTTGCGATGCGCTCACTGACACAGGGTTTAATTCTATGAGCTCGACGCATCGGGTGTTGCTCGAACCATCACTAATGGACTGGTTCCTCTGAGACTCCAACCTTAAAGATCATCTTCAACTCTCAGAGACTAATAACTGCAGTAATGGACTAATGTGTTCCTGGTGTCTCTGTTGAAGCAGAGACATCCTCACTCTTGTAGATATGGATCCAGCTCCTGTACATTCTGTGAATACTATAAACATGGCATCTTGCCTCATCTCCTCAGGTCACTGCTAGTCTATGAAGTCCCTATATTACCCTCGTGGAGGGCTTTGAGAGGAAGATTAGCAAGTTCCTGCAGAGGTGGCTGGGCCTGCCACAGAGTTTAAGCAACATTGCGCTCTTCGGGCATAACGCCAAGCTGCGGCTCCCATTCACCAGTTTAGCAGAGGAGTTCAAGGTGACCCGGGCCAGAGAAGTCCTGCTCTACAGAGACTATTGACATCAAGGGGTCCTCTGCAGGAGTAGAAGTTAGAACAGGGCGTTAGTGGTATGCTCAGGAAGCAGTGGAACAAGCGGAGGCAAGGTTGAGACACAGCAGCCTAGTAGGCACGTGGCCTCTGGTCGGACCGGGCTGGGTAGTAATCCAAGACCTAGCTACAGCAGAGCTAGGGGAAAGGAGAAGTGGAGACTGATTCAGGAGGAGGAACGAGCCGAGGTGGAGGAAGTTCACTTTAGCAGGATGGTGGGCATGTCCAAGCAGGGGACCTGGATGAATTGGGAGCATATCATTGACTGTAAGATCAGCTGGGCAGATATCTGGAAGGTGGAACCACACCACTTCAAGTTCCTAATCCTGTCAGTGTATGATGTTCTCCCAAGCCCTACCAAMCTGTTTACCTGTGGACTCACCTGCTTGTCAAGTCTGCCAGAAAATGGGATCTTTACATCCTCAGCTGCTGCTCAAAGGCCTTGGGAGATGGTCATTGTCGCTGGCGCCATGACCAGGTCCTGCGGGCAGTAGTGGATACCATCTGCATTGGCATAAACAACAGCAAGCAACAACAAACCTCCAAGGCTACAATCATCTTTGTTAAGGCAGGTGAGAAGCCCCAGCCCCGTAAGAAGATCCAGGGGGGGGGCTTTGATACAAACCACCTAAATTATCCACCTTCATAAGACGGAAGAGGTCCAGAGAGTCTTGGTGGGGACAGGAAGGTTTGATCCTGATCCTGTTGCCTCACTGACTCAAACACAGATTAGTGGTAGATGATGATGATGATGATGATGATGATGATGATGATGATGATGATATTCCTCATTTGGGAATATTTTTCTGAAATTGTTCATTTTATTTGATGCAGCTGTTTGCAGACTGTTGAACCTCTGCTCATCTCAGATTCAGCCTCACTAAGATGTTCTTAGAGAGGCTGGATTATAATCTGTCATTATTATTATAATATCAGCTCAGATTATAGCAGTAATCTCTTTTTACTGATGTCACTTAGTTAATAACTAATCAGTGACCAAAGAAATGTTGTTCGTGCTTCTGCAGGCTGTGCAGGATGGGAGGATAAAATAAAACAAAAATCTTTAAGTAGGTCTTCAGGTTCCTGTCCCTATTTAAACCTTTTATTTTTCTACCTGGATTACTGAGATGCATCAGGACTAAACAAAACACAATGATGTAAAACCTCAGAAATATGTTTTATACAAAATAGAACACAGTGAAAATATGAATGTGTAAATTTTGATAATAATCTTTTGTGTAAATAAAGGTCATTTTGAACTACATAGACTTTGTATAGACAGACTTCCTGGCACTGATGCATTGGAAACAGAGCTCTGTGTCCAAAAACCAACTGCTTTGCATAAACAAGGGAAAAGGGAGAGGTGGAGGTGGGAGTAGGGGGCAAGTCAGGATATGTAGTTTCACAATGATCCATTTCATGATTCCAGTAAAAAATAATGTAGATGTTGGCACTGGAAGTTCTGTCAGCATAATCTGACAGAGAAATGAATGCATTTACTGTAACTCCTGGCTCAGGATGTTTCTGTATCTGTGCATGGTCTCATCATCTTAATCATGCAATAGTTTAAAACTAAGTTGTTCAATAAATACATGTGGAGGATGACTCTGAGCTACTTTCACTGCAACATTTAGCTCCACATGTTGGTCTTAGGGGTACAGTTCTGGTATTCTTTAAGTCATTTTTGATGGACAGGAGCTACTCTGTTCCTTTAGATCACTGTTCCTCTGCTGAAGCACCTTTAAAGTATGGAGTTCCTCAGGGTTCAGTTCTGGGCCCTGTTTTGTTTTCATTGTATATGTTGCCTCTTAGACATATTTTTAGAAAGTTTAGTATTTCATTCCATTTTATTGCAGATGATGTACAGATTTACATGCCTTTAATGGGGAAAATTATCCTTTACAGTCTTTATTAGACTGTTTAGGTGAAGTTAGCTCATGGATGGACTCAAACTTTCTCCTTTTGAATGACAATGAAACTCAAGTCATTTTATTTGGACAGAAAAAAAATGAAAGTGACCCTGATGCAGTTCTTGGATCATTATCTCCATTTTATCAGACAGCTGTTAGAAATCTTGGTGTTGTCTTTGACAGCCGTTTGAAACTGGATAAGCAAGTGAATTCAGTTGTCAAGTCAGGCTTTTTCTATTTACGTCTTTTAGCCAAGGTGAAGTCCTATTTATGTTTTAGAGGTTATGAGAAAATGATTCATGCTTTCATCACAACACATTTAGACTACTGTAATTCATTGTACAAGTTCATACAGCGGGTAAAATAAGTATTGAACACGTCACCATTTTTCTCAGTGGTGCTAATGACATGAAATTTCATTAGCAAGGTTAGCAACCATTAGCCAAACCACCAAACCATTAGCAAAGGTTTACGTGGGAGTAGAATTATGAACTCTCTGTATCGTTGCACCCTTTAAAAATACATCTTCATACTAGGCTATATATCTGTTAAGGCCTGCTGAGACATGATTTGTGTCATGTGCAGCTGTGATGAATTGTGTACAAAATAACAAGGTGTCAGAATGGTGTATATTTATACAGCGGGTAAAATAAGTATCGAACACGTCACCATTTTTCTCAGTAAATATA